TTTTCTCCAAAAATTACTGTGTACTATTAATGTTATTTTATCCTTGGATGCTTAATGAATTTGCCTTTTTCCAAACTTGGCTGAAGCTTTTCCATTTGGTGATATGCCTTATTTTATTTGGTTGAATTTTGTTATTAGTAGTAGTAATAGTAGTGTGTGTGGTGTTTTTGTTTCAGGTCCCTAAATATGATTTTCTTCACACTGATCCTGCTTGTACCTGAGAGAACTCTGGCTTGATGATTTCTCTCATTATGAAAAGAAAAAACTCTTAGCTACCATCACAGGATACTGTGGAAGCTGCTAAGTGTAGGGAAAAAAAAAAACGGGTTTAGATGGCTCAGTAGATAAGTACTTATACACGAATGAGGACAGGAGTTTTAATTCCCAGCACTCCCATAGGAACCCAGCAGGTATGACCCTACCTGTATTCCAGGCACTCAGGAGGGAGAGACAGGGGATCACAGTGCCATGTTGGAACACCAAACTAGCAAGCTTTGGGTTCAGCAGGAGACCCTGCCTCAGTCCATAAAGAAATCAATGAGTGAAAACACCCGTCTGTCCCTAATCTTTGGCCTCCTCACACAGGCATACTCATCCACACACATGTACACATAGGCTTCCACCCCAAAGCATGTGCCCCAGTAGAGCAGATATCTACCTTCCTGTGGTTACAGATGCTGGAAAACAGTGAGCCAGGAAACCACTGGCCCAGTGGTGCTCAGCACCCAATGCATGCAGTAGTTGCTGAAGGTGTCCTGTTGCTCTTCTCAATTTCTCAGGACAGCGATTATATGAGCTCCTTCAGTATCAAGTGAGCAAAAGGCTGTAAACACCCTGTAAAGTCACATGTCTAACACTTAAAACCAAGGTCCAAATCAGACTAAATATTTGACAAGTTGAGTTTGAGGCTCTAGATTGTACTTTTTTCTGTCCTTTTCTTTGGAGACTTTAATTAATTAATCCACCACTGCAGAGGCTCCTCTCACCTTAGCCACTAAATTACTTTTGAGGTCTCTCATGTGGCAAATTAGCTGTCTAGCTCAGGTGTTAAGTGGATAATGACGCTTCCTGCTGACACCTTTGAGATTGTTTTACAGTTAAGTAATTTTTTTTTTTCTTACAAGAATGAACTTGTTCGGGAGAAACAGAGCATATTTTTCAGCGATGTAAGTAGTGGTTTTAACATTGAGTACAACAAAAATGCAAAATAAGTTTATGTATATTCAGAACTTTAATGTACTGTAAACAGAAGTTAGCTGACATTTTGAAAACATTGATTTGGTATTTAATAGACATGTGGGAAAATGTTGGAATCATGGTTATAGTTGCAAAGGAACTTCTTAATTCTTGGAGACAAATGAAAATGTTTATGAAAGAAACAGCGTGGTATTCGATAATTTGCTTCAAAGTAAGATGCAAGAACTAAATGAATCAAATCATCAAAGAAACAGGGTTGGTCATTAGTTGACAACTGTTTCAATAGGAGAATGAATCCTTGAGGATTCATCATGCCTATCTAGCATTTTCATCATATGTTTGTAATTATTCCTAATGAAAGTTTTATAAAACATTGGATAGATTTTATGAAGTGGTACCATCATACCCAAGACTGCCAGCACTAACTGATGTTGTCAAGGCCGTGAGGGATGTTTTCACTGATTAATCTACTTTATATGCCTATTATTTTTGTTCCTACCACTATAAAAATAGTACTACAAAATGTAAAAAGGATAAATGCTGGAGAAAAGAGAATGTGGGGGAAAGGGAGCACTTGGGTGCTAGTGATGGGAATGTTAAGTTTCTGTCACCGGGCTGGTGGGATGTTCAGTGGGTAAGTGTGCTTGCTGGTAGGCTTGAACATCTGAGTTGAATCCCAGGAGCCGTGTGGCAGAGAGAGAGAAGTGACTCCTGCACAGTGCCCTCTGACCTCCACATGTGCTGCATGTGCTGATCCCTAAAGTTAATTTTAAAATAAATAAAATAAGTTACACAGCCATTTTGTACAATGAAAGGATGGCTCCCCTCAAATTAACCTCCACGAAGTCACTTATCACAAAATGTATGTCCATATATTTTGCTCATACATATATGCAAAATAATTAAATATATATGCACAAAGTTAATGTAAAAGAGATATCTCCACTCCCATGTTTATTGCATCATTGTTCACAAGAGCTAAGATGTAGAATCAACCTAATTATCTATTAGTAGATGAAGACAATAAACTTCATATAAGGGGCTCTCAAATTTCCTAATTCCGTAACCCTTTAATCCAGTTCATGCCGTGGTGACCCCAACCATAAAATTATTTTCATTGCTACTTCATAACTGTAATCTTACTTTTATGAATCATAATTTAAGTATTTTTTAAGATAGAGGTTTGCCAAAGGATTTGAGAACCACTGCTTTATATTGTCATATTTATAAATGTACATACACAAACATTAGAGTATTTTTTTTAGTTTATAAAAAGAGGAAATCCTGTCATTTGTGGCAGTATTACAAATTTTGAGTAACATGTTGAGTGAAGTAGGCAGACACAGAAAGAAAAATGCGAGATGATCTTAGTTTATTTAGAACCTGAAAAGGATGAACTCAGAGAAGCTAAAATAGCTCCAGTTATTCAGAGCTGGCTTGTGGCAGCGGTGGGAAAGATATATATATATATATATATATATATATATATATATATATATATCCTCAAGCTCTATTATAGAGCTTGGTATAAAAACATGTATCTGAAGCTTGGCATGAAAACAGCTGTATGAGCTTGGTATGAAAACAGCTACTGTAGAGCTTGTAATGAAAACAGCTTGGTATTGGCACAAAAAAAGACAGGTGGACCAATGGAATTGAATCGAAGACCCTGATATAAATTCACACACCTATGAAGACCTGCTTTTTGACAAAGAAACTCAAACTATAAAGTGGGAAAAAAAAAAGCATCTTTAACAAGTGGTGCTGGCATAACTGGATCTCGACATGTAGAGAAATACAAATAGATCCATAACTATTGCCATGCATAAAACACAAGTTCAAATGTATCAAAGACCTCAACATAAAGCCAACCACACTGAATCTCATAGAAGAGAAAATGGGAAGTAGCCTTGAATGCATGGGCACAGGAGACCACTTCGTACATATAACACCAGTAGCACAGACACTGACAGCAACAATTATAGGATCTCCTGAAACTGGGAAGCTACTGTAAAGCAAAGAACAGGATCAACAAAAGAAAACGGCAGCCTATGGAATGGGAAAAGACCAATCCCACATCTGACAGAGGATTGATCTCCAAATTATACAAAGAACCCAAGAAATTTGACATCAAAAGACCAAATAATCCAATAAACAAAATGGAGTACAGATCTAAACAGAGGAATCTCAAATGGCCAAAAGACCTTAAAGGAAATGTTCAACATCCTTTGCCATCAGAAAAATGCAAATCAAAACAACTCTGAGATACCATCTCACACCTGTCAGAATGGCTAAGATCAAAAACCCTAATGACAGCTTATGCTGAAGAGGATGTGGGAGAAGGTGAACGAACACTCCTTCATTGCTGGTGGAAGTGCAAACTTGTACAGACACTTTCGAAAGCAGTATGGTGTTTTCTCAGAAAATTAGGAGTCAGTCTACCTCAAGACCCAGAGGTACCACTCTTGGATGTATACCCAAAGGATGCACACTCACACCACAAAGAACGTTTGTTCAACTCTGTTCATAGCAACATTATTTGTAATAGCCAGAACCTGGAAACAACCTAGATGCCCTCAACTGAAGAATGGATAAAGAAAGTGTGGCACATTTACACATTAGAGTACTACTCAGCAGTAAAAAACAATGACATCTTGAAATTTGCAGGCAAATGAGTAGAACTCATCCTGAGTGAGGTAACCTAGACCCAGAAAGACAAATATAATATGTACTCACTCATTTGTAGATGATAGACATAAAGTAAAGGATAACCACAACCCCAGAGAATCTAGGTAACAAAGTGGACCCTACGAGAGACATACATAGATCTGCCTAACAAGGGGAAAAAAGATCTCCTAAGTAAATTGGGAGCATCGAGAGTGGGGGAGGGAGGAGGGTAAAAAGGAAATGGGTAAAAATGTATAGCACATTCCTATCCAAACAATTAAAATGAGAAGGATTTGATAAAAAAAAAATTAAAAAATTAAATAAAAGAAAGATATATGGGCTATTTGGCAAATGTTGGTCAAAGGATACAAAATTTCAATTAGAAGGACTACATTCAAGGGAACTATTGTCCATATGGTGCCTCTAATTAATAATGATAAGCTTGAAGGTTGATAAGAAAATAAGATTTAAATGTTCCCACTCCAAAGTAATAAATATTGGAACCAGATGTAGCCAGTCTACAGTGTATCTGTATTTTAAAGCATCATGTGTAGCATAAACACAGATAATTTTTAATCAATTTAAAAAAGACCCCATTGGTCTCACTTCCGTAATTCATACTGGCTGTCCCTTAGTTATCCAAATTCAGTCACCAGCTGCCTGCTCAATGGACATCTGGTAGAGCCAGGCTTCAGCTGAGGGCTGCTACTGCCTTAGCTTGCGTTTTGACTTCTATATGGTACATTCTCTAAGAAGATCTTGAATGTTTGGTTTTTGTTTGTATCTTTGTTTGTTTTGGTTTTTTTTTTTTTTTTTTTTTGAGACAGGATTTCTTTGTGTAACAGTCCTAGCTATCCTGGAACTTGTTTTGTAGATCAAGCTGGCCTCAAACTCACAGAGATCCACCTGACTCTGCCTCCCAAAGTGCTGGGATTAAAGGCGTGCGGCACCACCACCCAGCTGTTTGTTTTTAATGTGACAAATTACTCCTTTTCAAATCTGGAAATGATTCATATTGAATTTACAGTTTAATCTAGAATTCTTAATATGATCAACAAGGCCTATATATGATCATATCCCACCTAAGATTCCAGCCTGATTTCTGTCCTAGCGTGGCAAATTTTTTTTTTGAAAAGTTAAAAATTCCTTAATTTTTTATTCCTGGTACCACTACCACAATTTATAGGGCAATATACCTGATGTAATGAAAAGAAAAAGAAAAACAAAGCTACAACAGATAAAAGACCTCAGGAATGTACATCTAATTGACACTACATTGCATTAATCAATAGCTGCACTTTTGCAGACTGTGGCTCTGACAGTCCTGAACAAGAAGGGCCTCCTGTTTAAGCTGCGGTAACTTTTCTGACTGTGGATCATCGCTCCTTCTGTGGCAGATTTTTACAGTTCCTCTAATGCATTTAGGACGACCGTCTCAAAGTAACCTGCAGCTTTCCTGACAACTCCTCGCTCTCTCTCCTGCTAAGAACTGTAGCCCTTTTCTGCTGGTTTTTAAAACCTTCTGCTACCATATCCACCACTTCCACCACCTGATCCATAGCCACCACCATAGGGACTGCCTGAGTTTCTTCCACCAAAACTGCCCCCTCTCACGGGTCCATAATTTGATTGCTGTTGTCCACTATAATTTCCAAAGTCATTATATTTCCCACCACCATAGTTACCTCCACCAAAATTTCCTCCTTCATTGTAACCGTCATATCCTCCTCCTCCACCACCACCACATCCACCACCTTGGTTTCCATAGCCTGGCCCACCACCACCATAGCCTCCTCTACTGCTGTAACCAGGACCACCACCATAGCCTCCTCTACTGCTGTAACCAGGACCACCACCATAGTTGCCACCATCACCACCTCCATAACTACCTCTGCTGCCATCACCTCCACCACCATAGCCTCCTCTACTGCTGTAACCAGGACCACCACCATAGTTGCCACCATCACCACCTCCATAACTACCTCTGCTGCCACCACCTCCACCACCATAGCCTCCTCTACTGCTGTAACCAGGACCACCACCATAGTTGCCACCATCACCTCCAAATCCATTATATCCACCATCACCACCTCCATAACTACCTCTGCTGCCACCACCTCCACCACCGCAGCCTCCTCTTCCACCAAAGTTTCCACCACGACCAAAATTACCTCCACCACCTCCAAAGTTCCCTCCACGACCCATAAAATTGCCAGATCCACCTCCACGGCCTCTCTGTGATCCAGCAGACTGCATCTCTTGTTTAGAAAGGGCCTTTTTCAGTTCACAATTATGCCCATTAATAGTGTGGTATTTCTGAACAACAATTTTATCAACTGTGTCGTGGTCATCAAAAGTCACAAAAGCAAATCCTCTCTTTTTCCCACTCTGCCTGTCTTCCATAACTTCTATGGTTTCAATCTTACCATACTTTCCAAAGTAGTCTCCCAGGTTATACTCTTCTGTGTCCTCTTTCCTACCACCAACAAAGATTTTCTTCACTGTTAAATGGGCACCAGGCTTTACAGAATCCTCTCTAGAAACGGCTCTCTTTGGTTCCACCACCCGCCCATCAACTTTGTGTGGCCGAGCACACATTGCAGCATCCACCTCTTCAACACAAGAGTAGGTCACAAAACCAAAGCCCCTGCAACGTTTTGTTTGGGGATCTCTCATTACCACACAGTCTGTAAGTGTGCCCCATTTCTCAAAATGTTCTCTTAAGCTATCATCTGTGGTTTCAAAGCTCAGACCACCAATAAACAGTTTCCTCAACTGTTCTGGTTCCTTTGGATCATGGCCCTCCATTTTGAGACCAGACTCGCCTCTTCCAACTCGAGTTCAATATGGGACCGAGAGCCTAGCGTGGCAAACTTTATCTGCTGGCCTGGGTTCTGTAACATAGGCACATCAGGTTCCTCCTGTCTGGGAGCCACGGTCCTCGGTTCTTTTGTTTGTGGAAAGTTTCTCTGTATCACAAAAGAAAAGCTGCCCTTCTTCATCATGGCAAATATTGTAATCCGCATTTTTTTTTTCCTCCAACAAGGCCAACATAGCCATCCCCTTCTATCTCTCTAGGAGTCTGTCAGGTTGTCTACCCTATGAAGCCCCACAGTTTGCTGCAATCCAACAGATGCTGTTATGCCATGTACCACCCAGCAAGACTTAATGCTTAACAACTATTGCTTGAAGGACAATTTTTACTTTTTTGGTGTCAAAGGAGTTTTTCCCCCTTTAATTAATAGAATGTATATTGCTGGATAAAGAAATGAGTATACATTGCTTACTTGTCAAGATGCTTGTCTAATAATCTTTTGAGAAAACCACTCTGAAAACGATACACATGCCAAGAGTCAGATAGGTCATTAGTCACACTGTGCATGAGAAGGGGGTGTTGTTCTTAGGAGGAAACATGAGTAATTGAAAGGCTTGAGTCATTGTTCCAACTGCCAATTATTGGCTTCCTGAATATAATTCAAATTCTGAATGTTGTAGGTCTAGAGTAGGCCAGGAAACTTCAACTCTCAAAAGACTTTTCCAGGATCTTTTGTGCAGTTGTTCTAGAAGCTAATTATGTTTTATACCAAAGGAAGCCAGAAGAGAGGGCCAGATGGAGAGACTGATGAAATTGCTAGTGGGCGATTGGATCAGAGGAGGTGCACCATGACTCCCTGTGATCAATAAAATACTTCATGAGGTCAGTGACTCAGTGTTGTGGGGTAAGGATTTGAGAACTTGGAGAAAGGATAGAGACTATGAAAACTACAGGAAATAAGGTATCCATGGAAATGGAATAGCTTTGCAGAAAAAGCCAAGAATCATTGAAATAGAAGAGCAGGTGCCTGGCTGGATGCTGGATGGCATCCCAGCGTGGTCAGGTAATAAACACCCTCTGCTCCAAGAGAAACCAGATAGCCTCGTCCTTGGGATGCCTGGGATGGTTCTACTCTCCAAACTTCATGGCATTGCCATAAGACCTGACTGTCCCAGTTAGCTGTAAAAGTGCTGCATCCATCACTACCACTGATCTGGTTAAAATACAAAGTACAAAAAGAGAGAAAAGTCAAATTCAAGCATCAAGCTGGGAGCATTCTGTAGCCTGGGTTCTTAAGCACAAAAGTGGGCTGCCCCCCAATAATGTACTAAGAACTAAGTATTTGTTTTTATAGGGAAAAAAGTCCAGGGTCCTCAGATATACTAATGCTCTGCCCTTGTGGTCTGACCCAAGTTCATGTTTACAGCCTCTTCTGTACTCATTATTTTGGGATCCAATCTTATTTTTCCACCCCCTTTGAAGGGTATAATCTTAAGTTCACTTGAATGTTTGTTCTGTAGGTCAGTACAGTAGAGGTGAATAGAACACAGTACCCCTGCCCTAGAGATCTCTGCATTTGCGCCAGGCCTTCTACCCTGTTGGTTCTTTTGGCTCGCGGGAGCTGCTTTGTTCTTACTGACTAAGTCCCATGAATCTTAGGCTCTCATCTGGCTTCACTCAAAGAAGTTTAGTCTGCGGCTCCCAGGTCTGAAGAGACCAAGCCACCCCCATCTTTTGGTGGCATTGTGGAGCACCCTGTCAGGCTGACACTGTCATCATCACTCAGGTCCCGACTGTTCCTGCCTCGTTCCTGGTAGGCACCTGTCTAGCTTCAGCACTGAAGTCAGGGCCCCATTTTCAGCGGGGCTTCACAGATAATAAATACAGGATATTAAAAGAAGGAACATCTTATCATTTTAAAATACCTGTTGCAGTCTTCATAAACCCAAACTTTTATTGTTCCGTGGGTATTTTTGTCTCTATGAAGAGCTTATGAGGACTTCTTTCATGAAGTGTAGCTTAAAGTAATTTGTTATAAAACATAGATGGGAAGCGGAATGTGGAGGCACAGCTAGCACTCAAGTGGCTGAGCAGGGAAGACTACAATTGGAGGCCAACCTGGGCTATAAATGGAGATGTCTGAATTTCTGGTTTACTCCAGAGACAGTACGATATTAGTTTATCCAGAAGACCACAGAGCTAGCGCGGGAGAGAAGAACATTACTGTTAGCATTTGGAATGGGAACTAGATACCGCTCACAATAAATATGACAGAAGATGGCCAAAACAAAAAATTCCAACACAACTCATCTTTAAGAGATGAAGAAAGTAAAGCTTGAATAAAGAGGAACTGGGAAGGTTTCAAAAGTAGTGAAGGGTGACTCTAGCCACAGCACTAGACTCTCTTTTGCCCCCAGCCCCACAGTGTGACAGAGGGTGGCACTGGAAACTCACATGACAAACAACTCTCTGATTTTGACATGCCGCTACTCTGACACACCCACACTCACACACAGGAGAAAAGAAGGCAGGAAGGCTAAGGCACGAATGGGAGAAAGCCACATGGTCTCCCCATTCCCGTGGAAAAAAAGCATGGCAGAAAGGAACAACTAAAAATAAATGTCTTAAATTCACACCCCCTTTCGACTTTGCTGTGCATCACATACAATCTTGAGAGAAAGTAGGTAAGAAGTTAAAGGCGGAAGAAGCTGGGAAGGACATGGCAATGCCAGGAAAAGGCATGAGCTAGCCTGACAATAACGTGCAAGAGTCTGGCTGCCGTTAATAAATTCCCTTACCAGTATAATGAATGAAATTTATGTCCTGGCAATGCTGAAGCATGCATGGGAGCTCATATTTGCAGTTCTGCTGAAATTGTCTATATTGGGTTTCATGGTCTAAGTTGATGAGGATGACTGACCAGGTCTCTTCCTCAAGAGGGCACCAGATCTCATTACATCATGTGGTTGCTGGGAATTGAACTCAGGACCTTTGGAAGAGCAGGCAGTGCTCTTAACTGCTGTGTTAAAGTATAAATTACCCTCTAATTTTACATTAAAGGTGTATAAAATGTGTCAACAAACAAGTTTTTAAAAAATATCTTCATAATATTTATTTGTTGATATTTATTTGTTGATAAGTGTGCTCATAGTTACAACCAGATTTTGCCATTGTACTTACAATGACATAATACCACCAATGTATTTTTACCTGTTTTATATTTATTCACTTGATGTTTGTGTAGGGAAGGGGACTAGCTTTTGCCAGAGTGTGCATATGGAGTAGGAGGACAACTTTTGGAAGTTGGTCCTCTTCTGTTATGTGGGTCTGGGGGTTGAACTCATGTCGTTAGATTGAGTTGGCAAGTGCCTATACCTGCTGAGCCATCTCAGCAAGTCAGGATTTTCTTGTTTTTCTTTTCTTACTTCTAAGGTTGTGATAACATCAAAGCTGTTTATGTGCTTGTCAGGGAAGTACCCAAGAAAACATTAACTTTGGGTCATTATTTTTACAAACTGGTAGCTACTAAACATAAAAGCTTCATAAAACATCACTTTCTAAAGATGCTCCCACAGCAGAGTGCTGAAGCTGTGTATGTACTAAGGCTGACATCTCTGCAGTGCCTTTGGTTGGCGGGTCCTAGGATGCTGACCCATCCGGTGACTGAGAGCTGGCTCGCTGTCTGCGTGCTCTCTCACCCTGCAAAAAAGTAGAATGGTCATTTGCTTCCTTAATGAACCTGTGGATCATCAAATAAGTTCACAAACATAGTTATCAGAGAGCATGTAAGCATCCTACGGATCACCATTAGATTTTGGTACTCAATGTAGGTTTCAAAATGACTAGCATTCGTTATGCGATCTGGAAAAATGGCTGATAACTTTTCTCGAAAGCATAAGATAATTAGCGCTGTATGCAGAAACAAGCAACAGAGAACCTTAGTAACCAGTGGGCTTTCCCTTTTCCTTCTGTCCTTTCCCTTAGGTACAGCTTGGCCAAGTAGAAATCAAATGCCCAATCACGGAGTGTTTCGAATTCCTGGAGGAAACTACTGTCGTCTACAACTTGACCCATGAAGACTCCATCAAGTATAAGTACTTCTTGGAACTTGGCCGAATTGACTCCAGCACCAAGCCGTGTCCTCAGTGCAAACACTTCACAACCTTTAAGAAAAAAGGACATATCCCCACACCTTCCAGATCAGAAAGCAGATACAAAGTAAGCACACTCTCCAGAGCGGTTAATGGTCACAGGATGGGAGCAGGCCTGGTGGGCAGACTGCTGGTGGGCTGGGCGTGTGTGGCCTGGGGTTTCTTCTCCTATCCCCTTATCTAGAGCCCGAGGTAGGCAGATGTAGCCTGGGATTCTAGTCTGTAGTCTGGGAAGACTAATGCTGAGAGATCACTCTGAAGGATTTAGCCGAAGTTTTCTCTTTGACTCTAATATGTTGAAAATCCTTTGACTAACCCAATGGAAGGCTAAGCTTTAGAGTGACAGTCGTCAATGTTACCAAGTGCTAGTAAATGCTAGCGCTCCCCTCTCCCTTATTTTTAAATAATGAGCTTGACTTTTTCAGTGGTCTCAATTTCATTTCCCCGGCCTTTCTCTATAATGAGCAAAACTTGTATAAAACATTATTCATTTACTGTTTACCAAAAAACCAGAATGTCGCTGTGTGCTTGGCATTCACTTGTATTAGGTGACAAATGGGACCCTCCCTGCCTCAAATCAGTCTCATAAAGGTGTGTTGGCCAGTTTTCTGTTACTGTAACCAATTCCTGTGATTATCAACTCATAGAGGGAAAGGTTTGTGCTGTCTGTTGGCCAGTTTGAGACATTTTTGTCCAGGGAATTTAGCATGGTCATTTTGGGCCTACGTAAGAAAGCCAGCTGAGCAGAACTACTTACTCATCTTGTGGTTGTACAGCAAGAGGCGGGGGTGGAGGGTGGGGGTTGGCGTTCCAGGGTCCCCTTCATAGGCATAGCCCCAGTGATC